TCTCTTAATGAATAGAGGGATTTGTTCTAGTGGTATTTCTAAATAGGATATTATGCCCGCATCTTGTACAGCAATTAACCACTAGGAAGAATGTATGCAGTGTGTTAATTATTGAAACTGTCCTACCAATTTGGTTTGAAGCTGTCTCATTGCTATTTGTTTCTCAATAAAATTATGGAAAAAAAAGAAATCAGTTTAGCCTATCTTGGCTGACATTTATGATAATGAAATAGAATAGCATAGGATAAAATAGGATAGGATAGGATAGGAGCATGGAATAGAATAGAATAGAATAGAATAGAATAGAATAGAATAGAATAGAATAGAATAGAATAGAATAGAAGAATAGAATACACTAGAGTAGAGTAGACTAGAATGAAAATATGAGGATGTCAAACTTCGAAGGTAGGTATTATTTCCTGAAACTGTCGTTGCATTATTACATCTAAGGCAACATAATGGATGGTAATTTAAATATATGTCTTAATACTGGTTATGGTGAAAAGTTGAATAGCTACTGTCCTAGGTTAAATGGAATCAAGGCTCACATTTAATGTGCGTATGTAAGTGTTTATTCTCTTGAAAGTTCCACGTTTTTTATCATCAGCAAGTCTTCTTTTCGTATTTACTTTTGTACAATGATAGATAAAACATAGTATTTCCTTTGCCACCTGTATTAACCTCAAGTAAAGTTGGATAGTGATAGTAACTTCACCTGATTAATATCTAGGATATTTTTTGAAATGTGAGTTTTATATTAATTCTTAAGTCTTTGTATTTTTCTGTTCATTTCTTTTTATATTAATTTTTTTTTCAGAACTGAGGATTGAACTCAGGTCCTTGCTCTTGCCAGGGAAGCACTTATTTTACTGAGCCATTTCCCCAGCCCTTTTTATATGAATTTTAACGAGAAAGAAATAGCAATGAGACAGTTTCAAAACAGGTTAGTAGGACAGTTACAATAATTAATACATTGCATATTGTTGTCTTCATAATAGTTATTCAGAGTACAAGATGCAGACATGATATCTTGCCTAATCCAGTCTTTGGTGTGAAAGGTGATCTGCATTCAGAAAGTAGTACGGACAGAGTAGTAGACAACAATATCGTGGTGCCAGCAAAACTACTGTCAACATAATGTCTTCCCTTTTTCAGTTTCCCACTGAGAAAAACAGCAGCTAGAAATTATGTTGTGGCTTCTTCATGAGAAATCATTGGTTTTGTCTTTTTGCCTTATGGGATAGGGTTGACCACCAACATTCACCAAATGCTAAATAAAATATCTATGCTTCCTTACACAATGTACTATATGATCATTTTACGTAGTTGGGAAATAAGCACTGCAGAATCTGATACTACTGTGAAAAACTAGGTCATCTACATAAAAGCCGAAGTTACAAAATGTTTTTTCTTTTATAACAGCTTTACTAAGCTATAATTCATATAAAATGAAATGTACCTACTGTGCCCTTCATAGTATACGGTGTACTATTTTTACACAATCATTACCCCAAGCAGTTTTATTTTCAAGTGAAAAATCTTTATTATAAAGAGCCTCATGATGACACACCTTCCTCCTGAGCTGGTGTCCCAGCTGCTGAAAGCTGGTGTCCCAGCCCGGGCTCAATTTTGGGACATTCTCAGCACTCTAAGAAGAAGCTTCATATCCCATGGCTGTTACCCCCTACCTTTCCATTATCTCTAGCTTCTAGCAACCACAAATCTACTTTCTCTCTGTATAAATTTGCCTGTTCTGGCAAATTTAATATAATATAAACAACATTAAACAATAAGCCATTGTTCTAATCCAGTAACTTATGGTATTTCATAACCTGGGCATTTTATGGAGTTATTTAGATTTTTGATTAAAAAAAACTTACATTTTCTGGCATTCTCAGCCTCCAACCGAGCAGCAATGGGTGAAAGTTCCTGTATGTCAGCTCTCTATTATCCGTCCATTTGCCTATCTTTTCATAGGCAGTCCATCGCAGGCCAATCCATAAATCAGCTTCCATACTTGGGAGCAAGGATGTAATAAAATCTGTCACAAACATTTTTAAACAGAATTTGATTTATTGAAATGAAATAAGTACTAAAAAGTCAATGAATATCTTTTATTTCCATATGGAGAATTAAGCCTAGTGCTTTATATATGCTAAGAATATGCTCTGAGCCATTCACCTACCCTCTTTTTCTTAGTTATTTGATCTGTAAAAATATAGTTCAATCAGAGTATTTTTTATGTAAATTCTATATAGTTTCCCAAAGCTAACTTGGATTTTCAGATCAGAATAAGAAGGGGCCGGGGAGATGGCTCAGTGGAATAAGCACTTCCCTGGCAACCACAAAGGCCTGAGTTCAATCCCCGGTTCCGCCAAAAAAAGAAAAAAAAAAAAAAAAAAAAAAAGAATAAGAGATGCTTTTTAAACAACTCAGTACCTTGTTCACTCTGGCTCAATACTGAAGGAAGAGTCCCACCATAGGAGTTACAGAGCTCATTTGCTTGAGAAAATGTAAGAGATTTAGATGTGATCTTCAGAAAGCACTGCAAACAAAGACACACATGAAGCATAAGGTTCCAGACACAAGAAAGCTCACACAGAAAATAAACGTTTCATCTTTTTGAGGACTGCTAATGGTGTATAAGATATGGAAATTTACAAAGTAGTACCATAAGAATTCAGATTTACACTCTCAGTGTAAACAACTGAAGAGTGGTCTTCACATCATTGCATATTTTAAAAATATCTCATTTATCTAGTACTTTGTATGTAATAAGCAGGTTTGTTATGGTTTGTGTATAATTGTCCCCTCAAAGCCTGATGTAGTCACTGGGGCAGGTTTCTAGAGTTTGTGATTAATTAATGATCCAATGCTGGGTGTGAGTGCTATGTGCAGCACCAGGCAAATAGCCTGAGTGCAATATAAGAAGGGAGAGAGGCTTGCTGCTGCCACTGCTCCTGCCTCTTTGCTTCTTTGTTTTGCTGTTTTCTGCTGCAATGAACAGCTGCCTTCTGCCATGTGCCACTCTGCCTTGGAGCCAGCTGATTATGAACAGAAACCTCCACAAACTGTGAGTCAAATAAACCTTTACTGTCTTAATTTTGGGTATCAGATATTTTGTCCCAGCAATGAGAGAAAAGTAACTGAGACAAGGAGACAAGATTTTTTTTTTTTTTTTGTATTTGGTACAGGGTACATTATGCAGCTTGGATTTATAGTGATCCTCCTGTTTTCAGCCTCCCCAGTGTTGGGATTACAGGCATGCACCACCACACCCAGTCTGGGTAGCCGGCATGCCATATGGTGTCAGGGATCGAATCCCGACCTCTGTACTTACCTAATGAGGTGCTTAGTCCACTGAGCTATCTCACTGGCCCTTGAGAACAGGTTTTATAGAACTATCTAATTTAATTCTCACAACAAATGGGAAAACTGAGACATGGGAAAATTAAGTAAGTTGAACCATAAGTGGTAAACTCAACATTTAGCCTCTTCCATCTGATAGCAAAGTATGTATGTGCTTTCAATCATCATATCCCTATATTACAGACAGCTAAGCTAGGCAGAAATATTGTAGGCAGCCACACAGACCCTCGGGAGAGCCAGGGCAGAGGTGAAACACATCTCAACTGTGAACAGAGACACATCTATTAGAGACTAGGCTTCAAGATAAAGACAAAATGACCGGGCTTAGATACTTCCTCAGAGGACAAACACCAGGCTTAGTGAGGCCTAGATAGATATAAGTCATCCTCATGAATGACCAAGACCTCTGAACCTAGAAAAAGTCTTTGTTTTCTCCATTCACTCTTGGGACTTGTTTCCCCACTGGATCATTATTGCTTAAGCAAATATATTTGTATCCTTATTGGTTAATCATAGCTATAACCCATGTTGTACACATCTAAGTACTGCTCTATAAAACTTCCCTATGAAGTGGGGTCCTGGGCAACCCATTTGGGCCTGTTTCTGTTCCTCTGACAGAAGCTTTCTATCCTCTTAATAAACATCTTCCTATGCTTAACCTCCACTGTTCCTAGAATTAATTTTTTTATTTTTAGAGAACATAAACTTGACTATCAGCCATCTAACTGAAGTTATGTTTCCCTTATATCATTATGGAAGTTCTGATATCACTCTTTTAACACCCATATCAAGAAGCACATCCTTCTGGAAATATAGCTTAGCAGTACAAGTGCCTGCCTGGCAAGTGCAAGGGCCTAAGTTTGATTTCCAGTATTCAAAAACAAGAAGCACATCTTGAAAGCATTGTTCTTTTTCTTGGCAGGCTATTTTAGTTCAACTTTGTATTAACTATGCAAATTAACAAAGTCTTAGTACTTTGGGAATTAAAGAGACTGTCTTAATTTTTGAAAGTCAAAATGCACCCCTGAATTACTACAAATGTTTTGAGCTGTCAAATATGTTCTTTCCTTTTTCTTTTTACATTATGATCACAAAAATGTAGAGTAGTACACCTCAAATTGTATTCTTTGAAACATCCTACAAATTTTTTTCCAGCTTTGTTACAGACTAGACTTGCTAAAAAGATACAGGCAAAATCATTGAGTAGCTTCTAGAAAATTCCTGTGGGAGAAGAATGTGGAAGTAAAGGATGGCAGGGCAGAAAAACAAAAGAACTTAATTTGAAAACTTTATGGAGTTTCCATATGAACTCAACCTACTTACCTTTGAATTTATTTTATGGGAAAGAATACGTGTTTTAACATACTATGGCAATTTCTTTTCAGCAGCCAAATACATTTCCTTAGAGATAAACATATGTATAGATTATATTACTCCAAGAGACATATATAATATGTAATATTTCTCAAACCCATGTAATCATAAAATTTTCATTTGGAGGCCAAATCAATGATTACTATTTTATAGTATATTTGTAGTCTCTGAAGAGTAGTTTGGGAAACACTGATCTAATTTGATTGGCAGATGCTGCTTGGATGCTGGCCTAGAGGGGGAAAAGAAAGCAGCAGCCAGAAATTACAATTTGCTGCATGCCATAGTGATAGTATAGCTATTTATTGTATTTTACCCATTGACTGATGGTCTTCAGCAATTTAAGCTATCAGCCACAGAATGGAAATGCTGTATTTTGAAGGGCCGATAGTTATGACTATCTGATGTGTTAACTCTTTCTTTAAAAAAATTATGTATTTGGTACAGGGTCTTGCTACACAGCTTGGACTACTAGTGATCCTCTTGTTTTCAGCCTCCCCAGCATTGGGATTACAGCTATGCGCCACCATGCCCAGACTCAGTGGCCAGCTCAGCATGCCCGGGGCGGAGCTGGAGCTGCATGTAGTGCCAGGAATCGAACTTGGATACCTATGCTTGCCAAGCAAGCACTTAGACCACTGGCTTAGACTCGCTGGCTCATGGAGTGTTAACTCTTGATACCACTGTGTTTTCTGAAAACAGAGTAGATGGTATACTGTTATAGGCAGAGGCTAGCTTAGTGAAGTTATCTGATGAGCTGTCCTTCATAGGCCAACCAACCTATGACCACGCACTGTAGCAATTCTCTTTTTACCTTATTCTGAAAAGAAATCCAAGGCTCAGAACACTGTACTTTAGCTGAAGAACTTGGACTATATTTCTCTAAGGAAGAAACATTGTATTTTTCACAGATGAAGGGCAACTTGGTTCTGCAGTCTGTTGGTTTGTTTAAGTCTGAGAATGAAAAAAAAAAAAACAGGATTGCAATGGTGAGGATTTTCATTTAATACATTTTAAAAGTAATCTATTGGTAGAGAATGCTCTTTTTAATTTTGTTGTTGTTGTTGCTGGAGATTGAACCCAGGGCCTAGACATGCGCAATACCTGCTCTATCGCTGAGTTATATTCCTAGAGAAAGACTTTAAATCTTCTACTATTAACCATATTAATCTTCTGTTATTAATCATAACTATCTATATTAATTATATGTATATTAATCAGATCCATCATCTATTAGTAATCATATCAATAGGTTAGAGCACACAAATTATTGCTGTATCAAAAACCACACATTTGGTGTAATTCCCACATCCTCCAGAGAGTGATGGCATGCTTGTGTGGTTGTTCATGCTGGCAAATGCAGCGCTCTGTGAGGCCAAAGCAGGAGAATCACAAATTACAGCTCAGCCTGGGCAATTTAGCAACTTAGCAACAGCATCTTTTTTTTTTAAGTTTTAATTTTTAAATGTATTTGGTTGTTACAGGGCCTCACTACATAGCTCAGACTCATAGTGATCCTCCTGATTTCAGCCTCCCCAGTGCTGGGATTACAGGTGTAGGCCACTACGCCTGGACTCTGTGGACAGCTCAGCCTGCCCTGGGGGCAGGGCTGTCATGTCATGTGGTGCTGGGGATTGAACTGCCATCCTTGAGCTTGCCTAAGCTTTCCTAAGCAGGCACTTTAGTCTGCTGAGCTAGCTTGCCAGTCCAGCAACCAGTCTTAAAATAAAATAAAAAATAAATTTACAATCTGGGGATGATCTAAGGGAGTAGGCCGCGGGTTCCATTTGCAGCACAACACAACAAAGCAAAAGACAAAACCTAGAACAACCACCCCAAAGGGTGGTGGCAAGAAATAGAGAAATGCAAGAGAAGTCTAATGAGGGGAAAGTAATCTTTATTTTAGAACTATTGTTCATTCACCTTTGTAAACTATTCATCTGCTTACCAATTATGAAAGTGATAAGTTTATTGCTAAATAGCTGCTTCAGGATAAAGGGAGTTAAAATACTCATATTGAAAGTGCCTTTATTTGCATTTGGAATTTGAGCTATTGTCATTAATAATAAATTAGAGTAAGGTAAAGCTACCACACATATAATCAAGAGGAAAATAAGATTAAGATAGTAATTGAATCTGAGATTCACATATAACATGATGGATGTTAAAAAGTTCATACTTAATCTTACCAATAAGCCAAGTCTTGGCAGACATGTGCAAGCATTTTTCCCCAAATGTCGTAGGAAAGTGATGCCATGGATGTCGTGAGCTAAAATTAAGGAGAGAGATGGGACACTTCATAACTAATTAGATATTTCATTTTGTTTTGTAATGATGTTATTTAAAATTTTTTTTAAATATTTTGCTTGATTGCTTTGGTACAGGGTTTTACTACACAGTTCAAACTCATAGTGATCCTCCTGTTTCAGCCTCCCCAGCAATGGGATTATAGGTGTGTGCCACCATACCCATTTTCAGTGGCCAGCTCAGTGCAGGGCCTGCACAGCATGCAGTATCCCGAACCTAGGTCCTTGAGCTTGCCAGGCAGGCACTCAGACCACTGAGCTATCTCCCCAGCCTCTGTAATGATGTTATTTTACTCTAAATTTAATGTCAATACCATTAGTCTCTACCATTTTTCCCTAACATGCAAAGAGACTTTGTGTCTCTAAGCAGTTTATGGATTAATGTTCAAAACTGTTGATAAAAGGTCAAGAGGAATCTGAGGCTCCCTGCTGTGATAGTTACAAAGGCAGGATCTGTGGCATTACGTACTACATAAAATGACGATCTATTGGCTTATCACTAGTTCTCAGCCACCACTTCTGTTCCACATCAGATATCTGAAAGACAAAGCAAACACCCATCCTTAAATGTGAATTTCCCTGAAGAGTTTTGATTTAAATATTCTATATTGTTATAACCATAAGTCACTAAAATTCCCAGACAGTCCATCATTTGGACTCAAAATTACATAAACCCGGACTTTTCACCAAAGAAGTAATTTGATGGGCCCTATTTTGTATATTCACAGGCCTTATTTGGGGGAGAGGAAAGGTGGTTGCTGTGATTACAAGTGTATATTAATCAGACAGATACATGGGTCAGGCTTAAAGTGCCTTTTGTAAGTAATTACAACTTAAATATTTTTAAACATTATTTTAAATTTTTCTTCCCAAAAGCTGTTTTATAAACTTTCTTCTAGTAGGAACAGAAATTTAACTATGAAGTTAACTTTTAGTAAAAAACATAAGAGGGAATTTGGACTATATACATGACTTACTTATGCTTATCTCACAAATTGACATTTATTGTTAATCTTGTACATTGTAAAACAAACAATTCTATTTCACTTCTCTAATATGAAATAGTGAACTTAAATGTTGTGAGGCAAATATACTTTTGTAGATTTTGAAAATATTTTTAATGGAGTAAAAATAAAAATAAAAATATACTTTAAAGTGTATTCTTTTAAATTACATTTGCTATTTTGTTCTTGATGGCCTTTAGTCCTGTAAAAGACGTCACAGTAGCAAGAAAGCTGTGATTGCTAGCACAGTACAGGACTGCTTCTTCATAATTTAAGTGAGGATCAGCAACAAACCAATATTCACTTCCTTCGATTATAACTGGAGGTCCATGAATACCAGCACGCTCTAAAGAAAAGAAAGAAGATCAGACTTAGGATTGTGCCAACCAAACTGTACCCTTGAAGCTTGGAGTAATGTCCAAAGTCATTTACAGAGTGGCTGTTCACCTTTGGGTAAGGGTCCCCTCTTACTCAAAGAGGCGAGTATGTTAAAGATGTTACTGAGACATGGCAAAACCTTTAAGAGGTTGCGCCTACTCAGAAGTCTTTTGGTTCAACGGAAGCATGACCTTGAAAGGGGTATTGGGACCATGGTTCTTTCTTTTTCTCTCTTTTGCATCTCAGCTGTCATGAGGTAAGCAGTTTGTAAGCAGTTTGTACCACCCCTGCCAGTGTGATGGCCCCAAGTCAGGACAGACAACAGATGATGGCCTGAAATTTTCAAAACTGTGAAACTATGAACCAAAATAAATTTTCTTTTGAGACAGTCTTACTAAGTTGATGAGGCTGGCCTCACATTCATGATCCTTGTGCCTTAGCATTCTGATTGCTAGGATTACAAGCATATGCCACTCTACCCAGTTACCTTTTCCTCTTTTAATTGAATTATCTCAGATACTTTGTTGTAGTAACAGCAAGCTGACTAATACAGTAACCCACCTAGATTACTATTGGTAGTTCTCTCTGGCTGATGCAGGGCTGATTAAGGAAACTGAGGATTCCCAAGCCAGTAACTCTGCTATTGTCCTGTTTTCATAAAGAAGGAAAATGCAGATTCATTTCCTCCTCCCACACCATCCAGATACCTGCCCTGCCTGGAGATGTCTTCTTTTGCTTGAAAATGTGATGTAGAAGAAACTGGCACTTAAATAATTAGCTATGAACATTACCCCAAAAGATAAAAGTCAGTTTGGTTGGATTTCAGTTTTCATGACTCACCTGGATTGTACCAGTCTGGTGTTTTTGGAGTACTGCCTAGAGAAGGAAGAAAATATGTCTTTTAGTTTAGTTTCCACTTACAGATTATGGTACACTATAGGCAGGGCCTTCAATGTGGCATAAGGGCTCTCAGTACTGTGCAGATTTATCAGTTTGTGACCAAAACATTTCAGGTTATGACCACCTGAGCAGAATTTTATAGGACTTATGTGAATGCTCCAGTGCAATCCAAAAGGCAAACCTACTAAATATTAAATATGATTGGCATTTGCTTTTTATTATAGAAGTCCCAAAGCAGGACTAGATGTATGAAGATTACTTAATAAACAGGAAGTGAAAGTAAGTCAGTGGTGATTATTGCGTAGATTATGTAGAAGCACTAAGGGGTATGTGGCAAGGTAATCATCACTGTGGGATGGGATTGTTCAGGAACCACTTTTTCACCCAATGGAATTTGAGTTCTGTATCCCTAGGGTGGTAGACTTCAAAAATACTATTGGAAAAAAGTACACCATGAGCCAAAAGTATTGAAACTTTTGAGAAGGTGAAATAAAACTGGAAGGAAAATAGTAAAAGTCACTCATGTTTTCTGGATGGACGTGAGAAATATGGTATGCAACATAAAATTATGGCTTAGCAAGTGTATGGTTCTCGTCCAAATGCCTCCTATTCTTTGCTGCTGTGGCACTTTGGAGGAACTGCACAATTCCTTGAGTCTCAATTACCTGCTCTGTAAAAATGGGACTCTATTCATAAAGAGTCTGAAGGTCACACAGTCACCTCCAAGGAAGTATCTAGACAGTGCCAGGCACAGAGCAGTTGACACAGGCAGTTAGTTTCTTACCTCTTGCTTTTTATCCTGCTAAAAGTCAAAATGATTTCAAGTCAAAGACATAATTTGCTTGATCTAAACAATTACCAGAAAATACTGTCACTAATTTTGCCTTGGCACTGAGGCCAAAAGCGTCAAAAGACTGT